AGAAACCCTGTCTTGAACCCCCCCCCCCAAAAAAAAAAAAAGGTCAGAGAACAAAGTAGCTGTGGAGGGGAAGAAAGAACAGGTGTTGGTGAAGTTCAGGGTACAGTATGGCTCAGACTTGGTGGCTTCCCTCTGGGAAGCTGTTTTGGAGTAGGTGGAAATACCAGATAAGAGAAGGGCTGGGGCACAGATCTGGTTTGATGCAAAGAGAAGAGAAAGATGTGAGGCACAGCTGATTCCTGGCCTTAACCAAAAATCTGGACTACTAGAAATGCTGGGAAGTCTGATAAATCCAGTGAAACAGATAACCCTAAAAGATTGCCTGCCCTGGGGTATAAAAACACTTGATTCCAGAGAAGAGCTGACACAGTGGCTGTTGACAAGCTCCTGAAGAAAATGACTGTGCTTTGGGGGGGTGGTTGCAGATGAAGAAGGGAATGGGTAGGACATTTATGGAGTATGCAGCCAAGGGTGAAAGGCTAGAACCTAGAATGCTGTGACTGCTGAACCTCTGGTAGGCCAGACTAGGAAGGCAGATGGCTAAGTGGTAGTAAAGCTTGAGATTAGCTTGGACCTTGTAAGAGAGTTCTGGCCCAGGCTTAGGGGCAGGTTTGATGATTGCCATCTTCTTCTGCACTCCCCTTAGGCAACAGGACCTGTACCGAATCCTGAAGGCCTATACCATCTACAGGCCTGATGAGGGCTACTGTCAGGCCCAGGCCCCCGTGGCTGCCGTGCTGCTCATGCACATGCCTGCTGAGGTCAGCATATGTGAACCTGGTTGGGGTGGGGGTGAGAAGACCTTGGCATACCATGGAGATGGGAGAGCTGTCTACTCCCTGCTTCTCAGGCCCCATCCCTGCCTCTTTGTTCTTGTCCTTCTTAGCAAGCCTTTTGGTGCCTGGTGCAGATCTGCGACAAGTACCTCCCGGGTTACTACAGTGCAGGGCTGGTGAGTGTCTGGGAGCTGGGTGCATGGGGCTGTGACTTTCCCCAGGGCTGTCATAGGTACTTGCCCTGCTCCATTTGTCCTTCTGTTCCTCTACCATTGAGGGTAAGATACCCTCTTAGGGTGGATTATATCCTGAGGGGAACATAGCAAGTCAGACCCATTTCTCATGACTCTTCCCACCACTTCTAGGAGGCCATTCAGTTGGATGGAGAAATTTTTTTTGCGCTTCTGCGCCGGGCTTCCCCTCTGGCACATCGGCACCTTCGGCGGCAGCGCATTGACCCCGTGCTCTACATGACAGAATGGTTCATGTGCATCTTTGCCCGCACCCTCCCCTGGGCTTCAGTGCTGCGTGTCTGGGACATGTTTTTCTGTGAAGGTATTTCAGTGGCCGCCTAGGTTGGGGGGTGGTAGGGCTAGGATTTGTCACTTTACTGGTAGCCCATGGCCAAAAGTATGGGCGGGCCTAGGCTTCATAATAAGCTGTGTGCAGGCAGGTAAAACAGAACCCATCTTGATTCAAGCCATCAACCTAGACTCTGCTTGCCCTCTAAAATACCTTCAACCTATAGCAACTTTCTTCACCTATAAGACAGGCAGTAAACAGCAACAGGGGCTGTCTTTCCTACATGAGACAGGTTGAGATCCTGGACCTGATGCCTCTTTTTGCCCCTCTCTGACCCTGTAGGTGTTAAGATCATCTTTCGAGTGGCTCTGGTCTTGCTGAGACACACACTGGGTTCTGTGGAAAAGCTGCGCTCCTGTCAAGGCATGTATGAAACCATGGAACAGCTTCGAAACCTGCCACAACAGTGTATGCAGGAGGACTTCCTGGTGCATGAGGTAGGCCTTGAGCCTCAGCACACCTTGATCCACTTCAGTCCATGCTCAGACCCATCTATACTCTGGCTCCCATGTCTTCTGTCTAGGTAACCAACCTCCCAGTGACAGAAGCATTGATTGAGAGGGAGAATGCAGCCCAGCTAAAGAAGTGGCGGGAAACTAGGGGAGAGCTGCAGTATCGGCCCTCACGGCGACTGCATGGCTCCCGAGCCATCCATGAGGAGCGCAGGCGGCAGCAGCCACCCCTGGGCCCTTCTTCCAGCCTTCTCAGCCTCCCTAGTCTTAAGAGCAGAGGCTCTCGGGCAGCTGGAGGGGCTCCTTCCCCACCACCTCCTGTTCGCAGGGCTAGTGCTAGCCCTGTTGTCCCTGGGGCCGTGGTCACTGCTGAGGGACTGCATCCATCCCTTCCTTCACCTACTGGCAACAGCACCCCACTAGGCACCAGCAAGGAGACCCGGCGGCAGGAGAAAGAGAGGCAGAAACAGGAGAAAGAGCGAGAGAAGGAGCGTCAGAGACAGGAGAAGGAACGGCAAAAATGGGAAAAAGAGCAAGAGAAGGAACAGCAGAAGCAGGAGAAGGAACAGCAGAAGCAGGAGAAGGAGCGGCAGAAGCAGGAGAAGGAGCGGCAGAAGCAGGAGAAGAAGAGCCAAGGCCGTAAACTTTCCTTGCAAAGTCGAAAGGGAGATGGGCCCCAAGCACCCCATGATGGTGGGGACAGGTCAGCAGCTGAGGCCCGGCAGGATGCTTACTTCTGACCTCTTGTTGGGTCTAAATGACATGGCCCTTTTCCTTTTCCCTCAGTCAAGAGCAGGCCTGGCAGGGATATTCTTCCAGCTCCCTTGGCAGGCTCTTCCTTTTTCTGAGGAAAGTGGCTTGATTCCCCTGACTCCTTGCCAGCTGCTGATCCCTATATGGCCAGGACAGCCACAGTGCATGGGACAGCTATATTTCCTAGGGTAGCAGTGACCAAGTCTGGAGACTCTCTTTTGTCCAATTAGGCCCAGCTTGGGTCTCTGTCACTCCTACGAATTCCTTCTGGGGTGCTGTCTTAATTTGCCTTTTGTCACAGGGTGACTCTTGGCAATGGCAGTTAGCAGTTGCAGATTCTTACACTCCAGTGGCTTCCCTTAGATGGTGGAGCTAGGTTCCTTTTCCTGTCTTGGGGCCCTGCCTGTCACCCCACTGTCTTTCTGGGGGCCAAGGCTGTTTTTTTCTCTCCTGGATATCCTTGTGTTGTAATTATGTACAGAAGGTCAGGTTGGCCTGGGGTGGGGTGCTCTGTTCTGTTTCACAGTGCTCCTGTACTCCAGTTTATTTAAGGGGATGTGCAAGGAAATGCCCTCCATTTCCTTCCCACCTACGTCCTGCTCTCCCTCCTAACTCACTTACTTTGTATGCTCAGGCCTCTCTGCTGCCTCATCAGGAAGCTTGTCTTTCATTTTGTTCCTCTCCAGCTATCAAGCCCCTCTCTGAGTAAGGGTCTTCCCTTGTGTCCAGGGGGAATCCAATGTTTACATTCTCTTCTGTCTTGGTCCTATCCCTGTGGTGGGTTTTTGGCCCTTTGAGGAAACGGAAAAAGAACCTGCTGTTATACCTGGATCTGTCTCCTGCCTTGTTATTTAAAGAGGGCTTTGGAGTAAGGGAGGGGGGAGGGGCAGGAAGAAAGTCTTAAGTCTCCATAGGTGCAGTCTGCTGATCTTGGCAGGTATATCTAGATCCTTGCTCCATCTCTCAACAAGCATAGTGGTCCAGCTCCTGCCTGAGCCTTGCTTGGGGTCTGCTGCCTCCTGGGACTCTGCACAGCTCAGAACACTGACATCTCCTTTCCAACTTGCTTGTGCACCCCTAGAAGCTGAAGAGAGACTAATTAGGACTGGAAAGCCAGTCTTGAGATGGAGCTAGGTTCCTGGTCAGCAGCTTGCTGCAGTTCCTAGGGTGGGCTAGTTGCCTTCAGTCCTTGTTTTCTGTGGCTAGCTTGTAGGCCCCAGCACTCCCCTTTAGTAAAGGCATGGGGTTGTGTGGCCCTAAGGTGGAGCTCCTCTTGGCAATACAGCAGAATGAGGCTCAGGGGTGTGTGGTCTCCAGGTAGAAGAGGAAGTTCCCTCTGGGATGAACCAGAAGGCATTCTGTAGCAAGTTGCCCTCCTGGTGTAGGACCTGTATTCTGTGCCCACAGAAGAAACAGGCCACAATTCAAGATTCATGGTGATTTAGAATGGAGAAAATCCAGGAGAAAGGTGTCGTCCATCTGGCCGCCCTCATCCAGCTCCTGCAGGATCACCTGAGCTGTCTAGCCTGGGGGCGGGGTGGTGGTGATGGTGATGTTCTGGCTTTTTGAGTTGTTCCCAAGAGCTTCAGATCTAGACCTCCCTATATGGGAAGATCTCACCTGGCTTCACTTCTGCAGGAGCAGGTTTCCATCACCTCGGCAGTTGGGGTCGGCTTCACCTTGTAACTGGATGTACCTGAGAGCAGGGTATTATGGGCTTCTGGCTGGGTACTGGGCACCGGTGCCAGCGCCACTTCTTGTTATTCCTGTTCCACTACAGAAAGCAGGAATTGAATGGGAACAGACATGGGGCAAAGAACTTCCTAAAAGGTCCTAAAAGGAGCTAGGTTTGGAATTTTTTTTTTTTTTTTAAGAGCCGGTCTCACGTTGTATCCCTGACTGAGCTCAATCTCGCGACAATCAATCCTGCTTATTTCACGAGTGCTGGGATTGTATCGAGCATGGAAAGTATTGAATGCCGTTGGGCGCAAAGAGCTCTACATATAGAGTCAAACTGGAACCCACAGCCTCTGCTCGGCCTTTGTCCCTCCATCCATCCAGGCCTTGGGCACCTCTCTTTCTTTCTTCCTTCTTTCTTTTTTTTCGAGACAGGGTTTCTCTGTGTAGCTTTGGAGACTGGCTGGCTGTCCTGGCACTCACTCTGTAGACCAGGAACTCAGAGATCCGCCTGCCTCTGCCTCCGTAGTGCTGGAATTAAAGGCGTGTGTCATCACTGCCCCGCCTTGGGCACCTCTTTACGCAGACAGCGCCACGTCTTCACCGTGGCGTCTATTTCAGAGGAATAATAAACACTTCCCGCCATCCTCAAGCCGGGTGAGGCAGCTATAGTAGTTCGCGCGAGTTTTCTGGGGTCTTACGTCACTTCCTGCGAAGGCTGTCTTGGCCAAATGTACACATCCGCCCGTTCCGACAGTCTTTTGGATGGAAGTGAAGCCACTTCCGCCTCATGGCGGTCTCAGTCTCCTTCCGGGTTATGGAGACGGGTGCCCCGGATGTAATACTGGCGAAAGCATCTTTCCTTTCTTTCCCCGCCTGATTCTGGGTTCTTAGGTGAGCGCCAGCCGGTAAGACTGTTCGAATCCTTGTGAATTTGCTTCCTCTCTAATTTGTACGTCGAATCTGGCATGGTCGAGCAGGTCGCTGCGAGGAATTATGGGTCCGAAGCAACTAGGGCGCCAGCTTGGTCCGACCGACCTCTGAGGGCTCTCGGATGGGAGAGCTGGGGGAGCTCTGTAGCTCCGGACTGGTAGGGGAGTGAAGACGTGGGGAGCCTGACTTTTTCTCCTGGGTGGGAGTCCCCACAGGGTCCACGTGGGGGCGGAAATTCTTCATGTATCCTCCCTTCAGCGCCTCTGAATTGCCAAACCAATTCCGAACGTCCTGCCTGCTAGTTCTTCAGATGGTCCAGGGTTCCTTCCTCTCAAACGGGACCTGGCACTTACCAAGGAAAATGTTGGTGATGCCTGAGCGCATCGCAGCCGGCTCTCCTTACCCAATTTCCTTACTCTATATATTTTTCCGAGGTCCAGCTGAAGGAAGTGTTCTGTCAGCCATGCCAAAGAGGAAAGTGACTTTTCAAGGTGTAGGAGATGAGGATGATGAAGATGAAATCAATGTCCCCAAAAAGAAGGTGAGATGGTCAGACTCTTAATTTCTGTGGAGGACAGAAGAGAAATAAAAGGGAGAAGTCTGACGAGAGAAAAGCTGGGAAGCGAAAGGAAGGGTCAGTTTTCCCCAGTGCACTGGGTTTGGTAATTTTTCAGAGTGGTTACAGATCCTGAACTATTTGGGAAACTAGCCAGTAGATTGCATTTCTCATTTGCTGCTTTCTACTCACAGCCAGTGGACCCTGTGGCTGGAGCGGGGGGTCCCGGGAGCCGCTTCAAAGGCAAACACTCTTTAGACAGTGATGAGGAGGATGATGATGAGGAGGGGTCCAGCAAGTATGATATCCTGGCCTCAGAGGATGTAGAAGGTGAGCCATCCCCAAAGCATTAGCTGTGTTGGAGGGCAGGTCTGAGTATGGAGGCGGGAAGTGTGCCTGTCTCTTTTTTGCATGCCTAGCATGGGGCCCCCATGTCTTTGGTGCAGGTCAGGAAGCAGCTACTCTCCCTAGTGAGGGGGGTGTGAGGATCACACCTTTCAACCTGCAGGAAGAGATGGAGGAAGGCCACTTTGATGCTGATGGCAACTACTTCCTGAACCAGGACGCACAGATCCGAGACAGCTGGCTGGACAACATTGACTGGGTGTGGCCCAGGAGCTGTCCTGGCTGAGGCCTGGGAATGCAGGTGCTGGACCTGGGCCCTGGTGGAAGTTTGTAGGAAATAATAATTATCTTTCCCTTATAGGTAAAGATCAAGGAACGGCCACCTGATAAGCACCAGGTTTCGGACTCAGAGGAAGAAGACAGCCTGGGTCAGACACCAATGAGTGCCCAAGCCCTTCTGGAGGGACTTTTGGAGCTGTTGTTGCCAAGAGAGACAGTGGCTGGGGCACTTAGGCGTCTGGGGGCTCGAGGAGGAGGCAAAGGGGACAGCAAGGGGACTGGACGGCCCAATTCCCCACAGCGCTTAGACCGGCTCTCTGGGTTGGCTGATCAAATGGTGGCTCGAGGCAACCTTGGTGTATACCAGGAAACGAGGGAACGGTTGGCTATGCGACTGAAGGATTTGGGGTGTCGGACTCAGGGAACCCATGACCCCGCACCTCCACCCTCCCTGGATATGTTTGCTGAGGAAGTGACAGAGGGGGAGCTGGAAACCCCAACCCCTACCCATAAAGGAGGTAAGCGTAAAGGACACAGGAGGGGTACTGGGGCAGGGGACTGGGCACTTGAGGCCCAAATGTCTTTGTTGTTTTAGAAGCAGAGTCAGCGGGAGATGGTCTCATGGACGTGATGTGGGAGTATAAGTGGGAGAACACAGGGGATGCTGAGCTGTATGGACCGTTCACCAGCGCCCAGATGCAGGTAAGCCTCTTCCTCCTGCCTGTCTGTCTATCCCAGCTTCTGTCTTCTTTCCTCAGTTTTGTCCTCTCTTCCTACAGACCTGGGTGAGTGAAGGCTACTTCCCGGATGGTGTTTATTGCCGGAAGCTGGACCCTCCAGGCGGTCAGTTCTACAATTCCAAACGCATTGATTTTGATCTCTACACGTGAACCTGCTAAGGGCCCAGTGTGGCAGCCCCTTCCTCCTTGGACTTGGCAGAAGAGGCCCCAGCTGCCCTGGGCAGTGAGGAAATTGGAAGCTACTCTTCAGCCAGTTTCCCTTTCCCAATAAAAGCCTTGAGTGTGCATCAGGGCCTTGATGTGCTGGTAGCCAGAAGCCAGGGCTCCTGCAAAGCTCCTGTTGGCTCACCTGCCCTTCAGTGTTTTCTCCTTCCTTAGATGCTTCTCTCTGCAGTCTTGGACCACCTCAGGTGTCCTGTGACTTGCCATGTCAAATTCTCTCTAATCCTGCTATTCTCCTGTCTCCCCTGCAAGTTCTTGTGTTGCTGATCTTCAGCTTTTAGGATCTCAGATTCTCTGGCCTAAGTAGCCCCCTTGCCACTGGGACATTTGGAAGTTTGAGACCCTATTGAGGGCACACAGGAGTCCTCTTATTCATGGGTTCTCCTCTTCTCCCTAGTCTGATTTCCTTCCCTTGCAGTAGTTCCCATAGCTCTTAGGTGAAGCATGAACTTAGTAGCTCTTCAAAGCTGCTTGGGGCACCATGCATTTTACAGGCACAGAGATGGGAAGTGACTTCCTGGAGATCACACAGTAAATTAGAGAGCTGGCCAGACCTAATGAGCTGCTTCCCCTGACATTTCTTGGCATAAATCTTTTTCTTCCTTGGCCTTTCAAGCCCTGCAGCTTGCTTTTCCAGGCTCCCACATGTCTGGCCTAGGGCTGGTGCCTTGAGGAAATACCACTGGACTGGTCTTCCTGGAATACTGAGTGCAGTGGCAGACACACACAGACCTTCAGCAGTGCCTCACCCCCACGGGAGCTGCTCTGTGCCCATGTCACCTGGACACACCTGTACATGAGGGGTACCTGAGAGCCACAGGTAGTAGAGCCAGGCTAGGAACTTAAGTAGGGGTCTGGCTTAGTTGGGGGTTTGATGCAAACACCTTCACTTCTCTAACAATTAGTCCCTGTTTACTCCTAGCCGAGACCATAGTTTCTTTAGTGGTAAGACATCTACTTAATGTTAGTTGTTGGTTAAAGGATGGACTTCCTTTCAGAGATACTTAGAAGTGAAAAGTTGGTGTCTAGGGTGAGTGGAATCCAGTCATGTCCGTAGCCTGAGTGAGTGTTCACAGGGTTTGGTGAGACAGACACTGAGTGCTTTCCTGAGGTGTTCTCCAGGTTCCTCAGATTTGACCCATCTAGAGCTGATTTTTCCCCCTTTCCACTTTCTGAGTGTATCTCACTGAGACCGACCATTCAGGAGGGGGCAGAATATCAGTCCCTGAAGATACCCACATCCTGAACTCCGGACCCTGTGAATATTACTTTATGCTTTATGTGGCGCAGGAAAGCATGTGGAACTGAGATTTTTTTTTTAGAAATTCTTTTGAAATGGGGGTCTCACTGTGTAGCCCTGGCTGGCCTCAAACTCACAAGAGGTCCGTCTGCCTCTGCCTCCCGAGTGTTGGGATCAAAGGTGTGAGCCACAAGGCTGAGCAAAATTGAGAATTTGAGAGATGACCATCACTGGGCTCTTATGCTGGGAAAGGAACTGAGAGACTCCTAGCACGAGAGCAGAGAACTCTGTCTGAAAGGAGTGTGTGTCAGGGCTGCAGGTGGCCTGGAGAAAGGGAAAAGATGGAAGGAAAGGCTCTTCCCAGACAAGTGAAGTGCAACAGTGATATATCCCAGTGAAACCGACTTTGGACTTGTGACCTCTGGACTTGTGAGATAATAAATCTGTGTTAAGCCACTTCAATCTGGTCATTTGATAAAGCTCCAGTAGGAAATGAGTATATGCCTACTCTGGAGAGCCACAACCACTTTGGAGCCCTGTCAATGCTTCTCCAGAGTTCTTTGTAGTTCTCCCAACCAAGCACTAACCAGCCCACCCCTGCCTGAGTTTTGAGATTGGATACAGCATTCAGGGTGGTATGACCATGGAATATATAACCTTTTTCTTGAATACAGTTTCTCTGTGTATCTTTGGCTGACCTGGAACTTAATATGTAACCCAGGCTGACCTCAGATCTAGAGACCTGCCTGCTTCTGCCGGGAGTGCTGGGATTAAAGTACTTCATTCTTTGTCTTTTGGATAGATGGATGGTATGTTACTATTATTTGGTTTTTACTGGTTTTCTCCTACTGTTCTCTATTTTTGAATATGATGAAAGAGATGGAACCTAGGGTCTAAAGACATTTTTTTATTAACTGAGAATTTAATACAATGTATTTTAATTATACTCATTTCCCTTCTGCACTGCCTCTCATACCCAACCTTATTCCTCTCTACCCACCCAAATTTGAGGGTTTTGTCGTTGTCCCTTTTCCCCCATCAAGTCTACCTGGCTACTCTTGGGAGTGGAATGGAACCCGGGAATTTGCATCTTCTGGACAAGCACTCTTCTAGCACAGAGGGGTTTGGGGGAATTATATTCAAGGCCTTGTGTAAAGCAACTGCTTTTTTTTTTTTTTTTTTAATTCCATTTGTGTGTGTGTGTGTGTGTGCTCTCACACAGTCACTCTGTACGTGACGAGGAGAGGATAGCCATGTGGATCCTGGGGATTGACCGTGTAGTTAGGCAGGAGAAAAGATAGGCAGGGCTGTCAGGCAGGGAGAATAAATAGGAGAAATAGGGAAGAGAGCAAGGAGTGAGGAAGACACCAGGGGCCGGCCACCTAGCAACACAGCCAGCCACAGAGTAAGAAGGAAAGAAAGATAGACTAAAGAAAGGTTAAAAAGCCCCGAGGCAAAACACAAAGAGAAACAGGATAAATTAAGTTAGAAAAGCTGGCTAGAAACAAGCTAAGGCCAGACATAAGTAAGAATAAGTCTTCGTGTATTTATTTGGTACCTATGTTGCTGCCCCCACCCCAAGAGTTTAAAGACACACACACACAATTAAAACAAAACAAAAACAGCTACAGACTTAGCTCTGGCCTTACTAGGTTCCCAGTCCTCACTTGCCAGCTGGGTAGTGTTCCACAGAGTCTAACTCAGATGTGTGATTCATCACCTAAGTCACCTTTCCCACAGTATTCTCCATTAGTTAGCCCTAGAGAGAGGTAAAGTGCTGATGACAGAGAAGAAATGAGCCAGCTTTTCCCTGTCCCTGTTTCCAGAGGCAGCCTTCTCTCTAGGCAGACCACAGAGTGTGGATGAATGGTTAGGTGTGGCTCATGTCTTTAATTCCAGCCCTTGTGAGGCTGAGGCAGGAGGATCAGGAGCTGAAATTTGCTTTGCTGACTAGCAAGGTAAGATGTAGTTTGGGTGATGCCATATAGATGTCTGAACCCAGAGGGCACTAGTGGGTGTTTAGTCAGTGTTATCCTTGCTGTGATAAAATGGCCTAAACCAGGCAGTGGTGCCACACAGCTTTAATCCTAGCATTCAGGAGGCAGAAACAGATAAGTCTCCAAGATCAAGACAGCCAGGGCTACACAGAGAAGCCCTGTCTCAAAAAACGTAACAAAAGCCAACAACAAAAATGACCAAAAGCAACTTATGGAGGAAAGGGTTTTTTCATTGTTTAGTTCTTCCCTCCATCACTGAGGGAAGTTGGGGCAGGAGGCAGGAGCTGAAGCAGAGGCCGTAGAGGAATGCTGCTTACTGGCTTGCTCAGCCTGGTTTCTTAGGGCATCCAGGACCACCAGCCCAGGGGTGGCATGGCCCTGCAGTGAGCTGGGCCCTTCCTATCGATCATCAATCAAGAAAAGGCACTACAGACTTGCCTACATGCAACTCTGATGGAGGCATCTCCTCAGGTGGGAGTTTCTCTTCCTAAGTGACTCTACCTTCTGTTGAGGTGATATAAAACTAACACTCCGTGGAGTGTGGTAGTTCATGAGCAAATTTACAAGAAAGGCTTAAGGTCAAAGCTGTAGGTGTGGTGGGCCATAATTGCAATTCCAGCACTCCAGAGCCTGAGACAGATTGTCAAGTTTCAGGTAAGCCTGAGCTATATAGCCCCCAGTGTGGTGTGGCCCATGCTTGCAATCCCAGCACTTGGGAGGTGGAGGCAAGATGATCAGGTATTCAAATCATCCTTCGTTTATGTAGCAAGTTTAAGGATAGCCTAGGCTACATGAGCTCTGTCTTAACTCTCCAAACTAACAAAAACTCAACTAACCAAAAATAAATAGTTTTGTTCCACAAGCCAGGCAGGTTAGAGGGGTCTTAATGTCAATGTCTTTGACATATGCACCGTTCCTTCCCACACAAGGAAACCCTAGTGGCTCAACATCCATCTGCTGGGTTTTGGTTTATTGTGTATGTGGGATGTTTGTTGTTTAAGATTTTACTTGTTTTCATGCGTATGCATGTTTGCCTGCATGTATGTCTGCACCATGAGTGGCCTGCACCTTGGAGGGCAGAAGAGGGTGTTGGAGCCTTGGAAAGTGGAGTTATAGATGTTGTGAGCCACCTGTGGGTGCTGGGAATGAACCTAGGCCCTCTGAAAGAGCAGCCAGAGCAGTAAAAAACTTCACTGCTGAGGCAGCTCTTCAGCCCCTGCTTTTCATTTGTTAAAGTCTGTGTGTGTGTGTGTGTGTGTGTGTGTGTGTGTGTGTGTGTGTGTGTGTGTGTGTGTCTCCCTGCTGGGAAACCCAGAGCCTTGAGCATGCTGAGGTGCTAGGGCAAGCTATACCTGCAGCCTTGTCCAGTTTTATATAGGCACAGGCTGCTTGAGAATTGGGTATCAGGCTGGAGAGTTGGTGCAGTGGTTAAGAGAACTAGGTGCGCCAGGCAATGATGGTGCCTGTCTTTAGTCCCAGCATTGGGGACTAAGAGGCAGGCAGATCTGTGTTAGTTCGAGGCCAACCTGGTCTGCAGAGTGAGTTCCAGGACAGCCAGGGCTCTTTCACAGAGAGACCTGTCTCCAAAAAACAAACAAAAAAACAAAACGACAAAAAACACTGGCTGTTTTTACAGAGGGCCTGAATTCAATTCCCAGCACCCACGTGGTGGCTCACAACCATCTATAACTCTGGCTCTAGGGGTTGTTCTCAACCTGTGAGTGGTGACCCTTTGGGAGTTGATTGCCCTTTCACAGGGATTGCCTCGGACCACCAGAAAACACAGATATTTACATTATGTTTTATAACAGTAGCAAAATTACAGA